GAGTTGACAGTCGGCTCCCCTCACTTCTTGAAGGTGAACCTGTACAACACAAAAACACAAATTGAGTGCAGGCATAAAATATGGGAGTTGTCTCCGATGCCGCCTCAAATTGAGGATTCGCCACCCCCTCATCATGGGTTTGGCCCCCTATGACCACGGGGTCTGGGGGGCTCATGAGGTAGGGGGGCACTCAGGGTCAATCCAACCACAAGTTGTAAGAGGCTACTACGGAATCCCGGGTGTATTTTTTTCCTAACCGTTGGGGCCACTCCAGTTGTAGCTGCGTTCATTGGTCCACCATTCCGCTCTCTCACGTGCCTGGCAGGTGTCCATCAAATCACGGCTGACTGGGGAAAGTCAGCACCGAAAAAACACAAAAAACCCGTCGTAACATGGAGCAAAACTCACAGAACAACGTGACAGATATTTTTAGCTCAAGAGGCTTGCTCTATATTGCCTCCTTCCTGGGGCTGGGAGAAAGCGGCTGGCTTAAAGTCGCCCGGCCGCTAGTTTTCATGCCTAAGAACAGGTCTAGAATTCACACAGGCTCCCCGTTTCGAACCCGGCTCCAACCCGGCTCTCGGTCTCCTTAATTCCTCTTACAACGTATTTCCAAGCAGACGAAGCAGCTCTGGTCGTTTATTAAATAAATCTTCAATTAAATCAACTTGGCCGTGATATAAATCCCCTCTGGTTGACTTGATCCGAAGGAACCAGGATTTCTGGAAGGGATAAAAATCCAGGAGAGGATCTGCTGGTCCCTTCGCCTTACCAATTTTTTTTTAATTGAACCACAGGATTCATTGGATTAAATTTGGGTTTACATCGAATAAAACAACATTTTATTAAGCGTAATGAAGGTCAAATGTCCTCAGAGTTCACGCAATCCCATTTTTTTTTTTTTTGCTCAATGCAATCACACCGCACTTTATTACATTTAATAAAATCCCGGTTTTATTCCCACCCCACCCACCCCCCGAATAAAATTTTTAATCCTAAAATGTGCTCGCAGGAACGCAGGAATACCCGGCGCAAGAGCGCGTAAAGAGGTCGATGGCCGCGTCGTACCTGGGCAAGTAGGGAGAAGGTCAGCCAGGTAGGCGTCCCAGGTGGGTCTCCATCCTCCTCCACGTCGCGGCTGCCCCAAAGGTAACTTTCCCCCCATCCCAAAAAAAAGGGCCAACCAGGACTTTTCTTGGATATTTTTTTCGTTTGTTAAATATGTCTTTTTATTAGACGTTTTCTTTCATATGCATCACTATTCGAGAATCGTACTTATGGGGTTGGGTCCTGGATACCTTGCAGGTCATCTAGTCCAACCCCGCGCGGGGAGAAGAAGCAACGGCTGGTAAACTCACCCAGGGAGAGAAGCAACCTAGAACTAAGGAGGTAACCTTCTCAACGGGGAGAACAATGGAACCCATGG